AGAAGAGTTTGTGTATCACAGATGAACAAAAGAAATTAAAGATAGAAAGGACAATAAATACACATGTAAACAAGCATCTCAAATTAAAATAAATTAGTACTTACTTCCTATTGTGTTGCAAAGAAGAGTTTGTGTATCACAAATGAACAAAGGAAAATAAAGATAGAAAGGACAATAAATACACACGTAAAAAGCATCTCAAATTAAAATAGATTAGTACTTACTCGCTATTGTGTTGAAAAGAAGAGTTTGTGTATCACAGATGAACGAAGGAAATCAAAAATAGAAAGGACAATAAATACACATGTAAAAGCATCTCAAATTAAAATAGATTAGTACTTACTGCCTATTGTGTTGAAAAGAAGAGTTTGTGTATCACAGATGAACGAAGGAAATTAAAGATAGAAAGGACAATAAATACACATGTAAAAGCATCTCAAATTAAAATAGATTAGTACTTACCAACTATTGAGATGAAAAGAAGAGTTTGTGTATCACAGATGAACGAAGGAAATTAAAGATAGAAAGGACAATAAATACACTTGTAAACAAGCATCTCAAATTAAAATAGATTAGTACTTACTCGCTATTGTGTTGCAAGGAAGAGTTTGTGTGTCACAGATAAACGAAGGAAATTAAAGATAGAAATTAGAAAAGACAATAAATACACATGTAAACAAGCATCTCAAATTAAAATAGATTAGTACTTACTGCCTATTGAGTTGAAAAGAAGAGTTTGTGTATCACAGATGAACGAAGGAAATTAAAGATAGAAAGGACAATAAATACACATGTAAAAGCATCTCAAATTAAAAAAGATTAGTACTTACTTCCTATTGTGTTGCAAGGAAGAGTTTGTGTATAACAGATGAACGAAGGAAATTAAAAAGAGAAAGGACAATAAATACACATGTAAACAAGCATCTCGAATTAAAATAGATTAGTACTTACTTCCTATTGTATTGCAAAGAAGAGTTTGTGTATCACAGATGAACGAAGGAAATTAAAGATAGAAAGGACAATAAATACACATGTAAAAAGCATCTCAAATTAAAATAGATTAGTACTTACCTTCTATTGTGTTGCAAAGAAGAGTTTGTGTATCACAGATGAACAAAAGAAATTAAAGATAGAAAGGACAATAAATACACATGTAAACAAGCATCTCAAATTAAAATATAATAATACTTACTCGCTATTGTGTTGTAAAGAAGAGTTTGTGTATCACAGATTAACGAAGGAAATTAGAGATAGAAAGGACAATAAATACACATGTAAACAAGCATCTCAAATTAAAATAGATTAGCACTTACTTCCTATTGTGTTGTAAAGAAGAGTTTGTGTTTTAGTATCATAGATTAATAAAAATGAACGAGTATGATATATAATTATTATTATTATAATCATAACATTATTAGGACAAGATCTATTTACCTTTTCCTGTAAATCAAGAGTAATAGTCTAATTATTATTATTTATAATAAAATTTTATGTACCATGAGTTGATTTAGTCCACTTCAGAAAATGACAACTTTTCAGGTTATTTCCTGTCATCCATGATCCAGTTCACTCCACCCCTTTTCTCTGTTATATCATAGATTTTATAAAATCTATGGTTAGATATATCTAATCTATCATTGATTTATACTATAAATCTAATCTATCA